AAGTTTAATATAATTGGACTTAAATGTATATTTTTGAAAGTTCAAGTACTAAAGTGGCACATTTGAAAATTTACACCTTGAAGTGATACTTCCCAAAGTACAAAATACCTATTTATAATTTACTCTTTTTCTTAGGGGGCCAAAAGTTAATAAACATGAATTAGGGGGCCAAGAGTTAATGAATATGGATGGGAGGCCAAGATATAAGTGGGATATAAATCGGGATTGTGAGGTTTTCTTTCTTTTTTTTTTTTTTTTTTCTTTTGAGGGGGAAGGGGGGATGACTCCCTTCTATCCACACCTTTCCAAAGTGCTAAGCTTATATCCCTTCAACAACAATTCCCTTGGATCATAAAAGTGCATGGATGCATGAAATGCATTTATGTAATTTTGCCCTTGTGCTTCTGCTCCCAACACACTTCCAACAAACCCGTCTTGCAAGAGACATTAATCATCTCTTCTAGATTTTTGGAAGGTTGCTCTCTATTTTTATTCTCTCTTTCTACTTCTTCCTTTTCCACATTTGGATAGATGGATTGCAAACAACTTCCTAGTTGAAGTACACCAATTATATAATGGGAAAATACTATTAAGAAAGTAAAAGAGATGAAGGGCATGTTTGTTTTCATTAAAATCTAATATTTGATTCCTTTAAAACTATAATATTTGATTCCTTTAAAACTATAATATTTACTTATAGAGGTGTATTATAGTCGGTTCTGAAGTGCGAATGTAGAAAATGTTGTTTGAAAATGTAAATGCTGAGTTTAGAAAAATGTCAATTGACCATTTTAACCTTGGATATGAAAATGTTTGTTTAAATATTTAACAAATTAGTTAAATAAAATATAAAATATTAATAATATAGGAATTGAAAAATAATAATTAATTAATTATTAATATTTAGAATTAATATTAATTATTCTTTATAATTAGTTATAAATAATTATTTTAATAGGTACACAATTTGTAATTATATAATTCATTAATAATAATGAAAAATGATTAATTATTAAGTAATTAAACAATTAATAATTAATTAATTAATTATTAATAGATATTTAGTACATAATATTTTATTAATTATTTGATAAAAATTAAATAAGTAAATAATAATTATTCAATAACTGAAAATGTAATAAAATATCATTAATATATAATAAAATATTTAACATAATTATTTTATTTTATAATATTTACTAAATTAATTATTTTAATAGTTAATTATTAAATAAATAATAAATAAACTACTTCAATAATTGATTATTTAGTTTTAATATCTATTTGAATGTTTAGACAATTAAAAATGAAGACTTAATATAATAATCTTAATTATAAATTAATTAAGATATTTTAATTATGTTAACTATTTAATTATGTAATTATAATTTTTATTTAATATTAGTATTTTTAAATAATTGTTAATTTATTTAATTACTTGAATAATAATTGATGATTGAAATGGTCATTGTAATTATTGAAATTAAAATAAATATTTTAAATAACAAAATTACTTTTACTTATTAAAATAATCAATTTAATATTCCATTGTTAAATAAAATCAAATAAAACTATTATTATTATCCTCCTCATCATCACTACTACTCCTACTACTAGATAATGCATGTTTAACCTTGTTACCCAATCTTTAAGTCCAACTAAATAAACAGTGAGGGAACCGAAGCTACGAAGCATAAGGAGTCTGCAGTCTACAACCAAAGATCTACACACAAAGGAAGATCAATATTAACCTCCAGCAGACTCTCAACAACAATTTTGGAATCACCCTCAAGAGCGAATTGGAGACCATAGACCAATGGAACTTTCTGTGCTCTCCCATAGCAAAAATCACCACAATGGTCCTAAGTAATAATTCAATTCCTACTCCACCATGAAGAGTAGAGGAGGAAGCACCATCAAAGTTGAACAAATTGAGAAGTTGGTTTGCACCAATGAACTTGTATAGTAGAGGAGGGAGGAGCAAGATTCAAGACCGGAGAAGATCTGTAAGTTAAATGCTTTTGAAGCTCAGCCATGAATACCACCCTCAATGGTTCAAATCTTCTTTGCTCCATCACAGATTTACACTGCATCTTCTATATATGCCACATGAGGCCAATATTCTCATATTTTGTTATTTATGTTTTCTAATATAGGATCCATTTGGTTCGTGGACAGGACCAGAATTGGAATTGGAATCACCTATTCCTGACACTTGTTTGGTTCAGTAATGAATCAGAATCTGATGTTGGTTGTTACTGTTTGGTTCAATTTGAAACTGGAATCAGAATCAGCCAAATTTTCTAATTCTGCTCCTATTAAAAAAATCTCAAAACAACCCACTTATTATATATTTTCAACAAACACACATTGACAACCTGCTAACAAGTGCATGTATGGAGAAAATATTAAAAAAATGAATGATAATCAGAATCCGTGTTGGTAGCTGAGACAATCCGCCTAGAATGGGCCCGTCAATCAAACAATGCGAATCAGAATGGCCCATTCCGATTCTGATTCTAGGCTTCTATTCCCTTGAACCAAATTGACCCTAAATTTTGTTTGACACCCAATTGCTATGTTGTAAATTTAGATTATTATTTTATTTGATTTTATATAGAGATTTGTTATTTAATTTAAGCCATTAAATCAAGGGACTTAAAAACCACTAACTTTTTTTTGGGAGTGGTGGTAACTACCATTTGAATGGATAGAAACATGTTTAAGAAGTTTTTTGTTAGGAGTGGGAGTAAACCACTTTTAAGATGCTCTTTATTGATAAAATGCTTAAATCAAGCTTTATTTCTAAACAATATCTCAATGTATAGATCCTACATTATGTGAAATTAGCTTTTGATTTTATTTGTTCTTTCTTTTCAATGGATCCTACATTTGAATAGATAGACACTTGTTTGAGGAAAAAAAAAGCTTTCATTTAAGAGTGAGAATAACTACTTGTAAAGAATCAATTGGTTGTTATGATGGAACTAATCTATCATCCAGACGTGAAGTGTTGAGTATCCATGATCACTAACTCTAAGGCTCAGTTTGGAAGGAGTATAAGAGTGCAAAACCTTATATTTTGTATGTATTTGCATTTGTACTCCTTCCAAACTAGGCTTAGTTTGGAAAGAGTACAAATACAAATTTATAGAGTGCAAAGCCTTGTATTTTATATGTATTTACATTGTACATATTTGTATTTGTATTCCTTCTAAACTGATCCTAAGAGACAAATTAGAGGCAAACCACACAGGCCTAATAACTAGACAAGAAAAAAGGATGATGGTTGCTCTCCACAGCATTCCTAGCAAATAAATTTGATTGATAACTAGGGGTGCAACTTGGGTGGGTCCAACTGAAGCCTGGGCCAATTCAGTCTGTAATTTTATATAGGCTGGGCTTGGTTCAGACTGACCTTATCCCAATCCAAGACCAGCCCAATAAGTAGACTTGGCAAAAAGTTGACCCAGCCTGTGAACCCAATCCAACCAACCCGAAAAAATAGGGTTAGGGTCTCATATTTAGCAACCTGAATATGAGAATGACCTGACTCGACCTAACCTAGTGAAAACTGGGTTGGGTTGGGCCATGGGTCAACCCGTTGACCCAATTGTTATGTCTAATTGGGATTATTTATGCATTGTTAGAAGTTTCTACTATTTATTTTTTACTATTTAGTCTTTATTCTTTATTGTTTACTCTTTGAATTGTTAAATGTTCAAGTTTTTTAGTTTGTTTTTTAAATTTTAAGGTTAATTCCTTTAATTTTGGTATTTTCACATATTTTTCTTTATTTTTTAAAAGAGAAAATCTATGAAGTGGAAAAGACATGGTATAAAAAGAATTTTGACTAATCAAAACCCACCCATTAATTTTGATAAATAAGACTTTATTGGCTACATGTTTCCAATTGATTGGTGAGACATTTTTTCAGATATCATATCTTTTCCATATCATAGTTGACCCCTTTTTAAAATTTCAAATATTTTTTGGGTGAACCGAATTAACCCATGGGTCAATCCTAACCCGAACAATTAGGATTAGGGTCAAGCATTTAACAATCCAGCCTGAAGTTCAACCAACCCAAATCAACCCAAAGTGTCTTGACCCAACTCGAACCTTACCCACCCAACCTAACAGCCAGATCTACCGATAAAACACATGTTTGACTGCATACATGTATATATGTATAATTTTTTAATAAACTATAAATATATACATACATGTATCACAATTTTTAGCATGGAATGATTGACAAACCTAAGCGTGGACCGAGTCCAAGCCCATTTCAAATTCATCAATTTTTGGGGCAAGCTAAGCTTTGATTGGATAGTTCAAACTTTGACCTTAAACTTAATTGGGCTCCATTATTAAACCCAATTCTTAATGTTGGACTTGGTTGACATTAAAGTCAAGGGTCTCAATGGTATTCGAACCGACCGATTTTGAATTCAAGATTCAACATAATCGAATCGAATTTGGATAATTCAAATATCTAAATGGACAAATTTGGATATCCTACTCATACCGAATAATTAATCATATATGAATCCGGATATGATCTGATTCAATTTTATAAATATTCGAATTCGAGCAATTATTTAATTCTTATATATAATATATAAATTTTTTAAATGTTTTACATAATTTATATATATAATAATTAAATTATATAAATAATTTATATATTTATATACTTTATATAAATAAAAATATTTATTTTATATATTTATTAATTATCTAAAATAATTAATTAATCAAATCGAATATTCAAATATTTAATTAAATTTAAATTTAAATATTAATTTTTAATATTCATTGGATATTGAATCGAATTAAATATTTTACTAAAATTTGAATTCAAATATTACCTGATCCGATTGGAATTCGATCGGTTTGGAATTTGATTGGACCGTGGATTGGATTTGAATTCGAACAACATTATTAGGGATATTATGTCATTAAACATGAGGATATTTAGAAACCATCGCAAAGCGGTATTCTCCTCATTTCCCTCCCCTGTTATACACAAACTCCCGATTATTTCCCTTCCTTGCAAGAGAAGCTTACAGCTTTCAACTTTTTTTGAAGTTGTTTACCTTACATCTCTGTTTCTCTCTCTTTGCATCTCATCATTCACTCCACTACATTCTTTGAAACGGAGAGAGAATGACAATAGAGATGCCCAAAGGCCTTCCTTTCTCTGTGGATACGTGGACACCGTCATCGAAGAAGAAGAGACATCATTTCCTCACTCACGCCCATAAAGACCACTCCACTGGAATTACTCTCTATTCCTCTTACCCAATTTATTGTACCCATTTAACCAAAACTTTGGTTCTTCAACAATTCCCTCAGGTTTTCTTTCTCCTCCTGTATTTGTGGCATACCTATTTGATTGATGTTCTTATTGTCTTCTAAATTATTCCGAAACTGGGTTGCTTAATTGTTTTGCAGCTCGACGATTCTTTGTTTGTTTGTATCGAGATTGGTCAGTCGGTGGTTATTGATGACCCGGATGGAGCTTTTTCCGTTACGGCTTTTGATGCCAATCATTGTCCTGGTACCTTTTTTCCCTAAATGTTTATTAATGTATTCATTATTTTCTTGTTATTTGTTTGCTTTTGTTTTTGTGGTTTGGAGGAAACTCTGCAACATTTTACATGCGATGTTGTCCGTTGCTTCCAGTTGGACCTTAAGTGTTTTTCTATCCTGATTATCTTTGCCGCTTTGATTATGTTTTTATGAAGATTTGCTGCTGTGGGTACTGGGTAGATTATTTGCAAATACTGTTGTTGGTAGGTTATTTGCAAGTACCGGTCCTGTTTAGTTTTTAAGGCTTTAATTTTCGTTCATACTTTTGGTTTGGTAAACTACCATATTCTAGCCATCATGTTATTTTTCCACCTTTCTGCTGAGATTGTGGCTCATCTTTCTTTCCGGTTGTTTTCCCACTATATTCTGAAGTTCAGTAGTGTTTCTTTTTGTATAACAAAACTTTGAACTGATTTTGGCTTATGAGACTCCTAGAAGGCTTTTGAGATTATATTAGTTGTCTTTTTCAGGCTTCTGGTCAAGAGACATGTTTATGTAGGAGGCAATTTGAACCGATGCTTCAATATTCATTTCAAAACTTGGCATTTCTATTTCATACAATTTAAATTAACCAGGACTAATTACAACAAGTTATATTCTCTGTCCTAACAGAATGGTTGAACTTACACCCCTCTAGAAATCATCACAATTTTAAATGAAGGTCGAGAGATTGGGTCTTTGTAGTTCTAACACATGATGGGGCTCCTACTGGCAGTGGCTTGTCTACAGGTCATGACCCAAATGTCTTCTTTTGAAGACTCAGTCTGGTCTGAATTTTCCCTTGTTGGCCTTACAAAAAGATTCCATGCTTTTCCTAGCTTCAATCATTGTTGTGGACTTCATTTTTGGTGATCCCATGTGATTGAACTCACCCCATAAGACTGAACTCTAATTTTGCCTCAAAGTGCCTGAGCATTCTCTCATCCCTTTATTTGTGAATCTAAGGGTTCTCACATAGACCATGTGCATTGATTTCATATTTGTTACTGTAAGTATGGACCATTATGGGAATGGGGTATTGAGTGGAAAAGGGTTATGGCCATTTCCTTTCTTTCATTTTATTGCTCTATGTTATTCCTTGGTTCTTCATGAATGAAGGCAAAAAAGAGATTCTCAGGACCATAATGATGCCTCTGGCTGGATTGGCATGTTAATGCCTTTTTATGAGTGATCATACGTTGGATTTTGCAGAGAATTTCCAAGACTGGTCTCCATGTTGTCTTTTGTGTTGTTATGATGTTACAATGTAAAATGCTTTCAATAGATTGTTGAAGTTGTGACTTCTTCAGTTGTGTTTGCCTTGGGGTAGGTTTTTTTTTTGTGTGTCATACATCCATAGGAATGTGTTTCAACTAATCACATTCTATTGGGACTTTTGAGATCGTTTTAGTGGTTTGCTTAGGCTTATGGTAAAGAGGAACATCAATAAATGAAGTTAAGAGCTCATTTTAGTTCCTGTTTTATTCTTCATGTCAGAATTTGATATCACCTATACTATTATAAATCAGATACTTGCCTTGGTTTTGGTGCAGGTCATAAAATGTTAAATTTGATTGTATAACCTGAACTTATATTTGTACTCTTTATTTGCACACGTGCATAGCACATGCCCTCACACTAGCTGTTCATAAAATCTATATTATGTGCAGCAACAAAATAGTCATGCCTTTTTTCCACAGGAGAAGAAGGCTTATTGCTAAGAAGACGCTAGATACTATGTTGCACCAAGCTGAAGCTGAAGTCAAATGGAGGCAAAGAGCTCGGGCAATGTGGCTGAAAGCAGGTGATAATAATACTGCTTTTTTCCACAAGATGGCCAATGCAAGAGAGAGTTAATTCTATTCAAAAGTTGAAGGTAGAAGGAAAGGTAGTACTAGATGAGGAAGACAGCAGATGCTTTTATTTATTTCTATAAAGAGTTGTTGAAGGAACCTTGCAAGAGAAGACCAAGACTGGATGGTTTGATCTTTAATTGTTTGACTGAGGTGTAGGTTTCAGAACTGGAAAAACCCTTCTCATAAGAAGAGGTAAAGAAGGTTATAGAAGATTTGGAAGGGGAGAAGGCACTGGGCCCGGATGGTTTCACATTATTGTTTTTTAAGAAGTTCTGGGAGCTCTTTAAAACAGATTTGCTAAGGGTTTTGGCGGAATTCCATGATTCTGCTGCCCTCGAGAGAAGCTTAAATGCAACTTTTATATCACTGATCCCCAAGAAGAAAGGAGCAAATGAGCTGAAAGATTTTAGGCCAATCAGCTTGGTTGGAGGTGTCTACAAGATCCTATCTAAAATTCTGGCCACCAGATTAAGGAAGGTGATGGATTCTTTAATCTCTAAGTACCAAGGGTAGGGGTGCTCATGGTTCAGTTAACCGAACTGTGGGCTAATTTTTGAAACTGAACCGGGGCTACCAGTTTTTGGAAAACCGGTAACCAAAACCGAACCGAAGCCGATCGGTTAACCGGTTGACTGGTTTGGTTAACCGTAAACCGTCAGTTTTTTGGTTTTTTATTATTTACAATATTTATTATAGAAAAATATATAAGCATATAATAAAATACTAGAAATATGTATATAATATTATATTTTAAATAATAAATAATAAATTATACATTACAAATATATATTTATATATAATGCATATTTGTTAATTTATAATGTATAGAAAATATAAAATATATATAATATAAATATACATAATATATATAAATATATGTATACCGGTCAGTTCAATTAACTGCTGGTTTTCTATTTTGGTTAACCGATACTGAACCTACCGGTTTGGTTAATCGAATTTTCGATTCAGTTTCGGTTGGTTCGGTTTTTTTTTATCACCCCTAATGAAGGGACATTTGTCCACAACAAGCACATTCAGGATGTAGTTCTCATAGCTAATGAACTACTAAACTCAAGAATAAGAGGTGGAGAAAGTGGTATAATCTGCAAAAGTGACTTAGAAAAGGCTTATGACCATGTTAACTGGTCTTTCTTGGATTATTTGTTGAAAATAATGCACTTTGGCTCCAAGTGGAGAAATTGGATAAAGGTCTGCTACTCAACCCCTAGATTCTCAGTGCTTGTAAATGGGATTGCTAAAGGAAACCCCATTGTCTCCTTTTCTCTTTCTAATAGCAATGGAAGGTTTAAGCAAGTTGGTAGATAGAGCTGTGGAGAGGGAGCTGCTGGAAGGCTTTCAGGTGAAGCCCAATGGGTTTCCATTCCAATTCTACAATATGCTGATGGCACTCTCTTCTTTTGCAAGGCTTCAGAGGAGCAAGTTCTGAATTTGAAGTACATTCTTTACTGGTTTGAGATTATTTCAAGTCTGAATGTAAACCTAGAAAAAAGTGAGATAATAGCTGTGGGTGATGTTTATAACATCCAGGGTATGGCAGACTTGTTAGGCTGCAAGGTTGGTCAGCTGCCATCAAATTATTTAGGGTTGCCTCTGGGAGCCAAATGCAATTCAAAAACCATTTGGAATCCAATAATAGAAAGAATGGATCAGAAATTGGCCGCTTGGAAAGCAAGGTCTCTCTCCAAAGGTGGAAAGGTAGCACTTATCAAGAGTGCCCTAGCAAGCTTGCCTACGTACTTCATGACCCTATTTCCTACCCCTTCGGAAGTGGCAGAGATTTTAGAAAAAAAGATGAGAGACTTTTTTGTGGGTGGGATGGAAGGATTCACATAAATATCATCATGTTAACTGGGGTCAGATTTGTAAACCCCTATCTCAACTTCTCAAGGGGGGTTGGGGTTAAGGAGATTAAAATCCTTCAATCTAGCTCTACTAGTAAGTTGGCTATGGAGGTTTGCTGCTGAACCTGACAACCTATGGAGAATAGTAATAGCAGAAAAATACGGGCTGGATGAAAGTGGTTGGGGTAGTGGTCCACCCATGTCAACCTATGGATGCAGTCTGTGGAAAGGTATATGCAAAGCTTCGAACTTTTTCAGAAGGGAAGTTAGATTTAAAGTTGGGAATTGGAGAAGGATTAAGTTTTGGTTGGATGCTTGGACGGGAGAATTCCCTTAAGGATATGTTTCCTACCCTGTTCAATTTGGCTGAAGATAAAGAAGCAGTGGTAGCATATTCATTTGTGTTAAGGGATACTGCTTTTTGCTGGGCTCCAACCTTTAGAAGGGACTTCAATGATTGGGAGATTCAGAAGGTGGCGAATCTCTTGGTTTTGCTTCAGTCCCAGGTTTTGAATTTGCAGACTGGGGATGCACTAGTGTGGAAAGGGAACAAAAGTGGGGAGTTTTCAGTCAAATCCTTCTACAACGCCATAAGGGGAGGTTTTGAAACCCCCCTTCCAAGACGGGCCATTTGGGGGACAGTAGCTCCCTCCAAAGTAGAGTTTATTGCATGGGGGGCAGCCTTGGAGAAATGTCTCACCAAAGAGAAGCTGGTAAGAAAAGGTTTTAACTGCAGACCTGAGGTGTAGCTTCTGTGGTGGGGAAACAGAATCAGTAAACCATTTGTTCTTACACTGCATTTTTGCCTGAGATCTGGTGCCATTTCTTAAGAAGTCTAAAGGTAAGCTGGTGTATGCCAGCCTCAGTTAAAGCCTGCTTGGAGGCTTGGCAGATCTGAGGGATGACTAAGAAAGGAAAGATTTGTTGATCTTAAAACCTCTAAAGTCATCAATTTGGCTGTAGGTTTTGTTAGAAGTTGGTTGTCTATACTTACTGAATTTAAAGGGGATACATCTGATTGTAATTTTTTGAGGATGGACTTTTTTTTTGAGGTCCTTCTTTTTGGTGTGTACAGCTTCTCATTGTACAAAGGACCTTTACATCAATACAATGATACTTTACCTTTGCTCAAAAAAGAAAAAAAAATATTCATGCCTTCATTTCTCCAGTACAAGATCAGAGATATTGAACCGGGTCTCCTTTAGGGTCTAATAGTCAGTCATGACATGAAGAATCAGCTTTGGGCCCAGCCCATGCTATTGAATTCAAAGGTTGGGCTGCATTTGGCTCATTTATAGGTCTTGGTTCATGGGCATGGCTCTTGAAAACCCAGACCGATTTGCGCTTTCCCTGTTAATTCCTTCTTCAACCTCTATATTTTGATGGAGCTTCATGTTGAACTTCCAATCATGAAACTAAACTCTCTTTCTTCAGATGGCCTGAAGGTTCTTCCTCACTCCTTAGGTGAGTAAGGGGAGGAATCTTAGAACATTGAAGAATCAACCCAGGTCCTTTAAAACCATAGTAGAAAGAATTTGGGGGAAGCTTTTTCATCTCTTTTTTCTTATTGGAAAATTTGAGACATCTCTTTCCATTTAGTGTTGTTGTATAGCACCTATACCCTATCTGCTCTATCATGGGCTGTGTATACTGTGTAACTCTTGGAAGTCTTTCCCAGTCTTTAATACAATTACTAGATAGAACAAGGAAAATAGAAGGATAATGTTGTTATTTTGGTCCTGCCACTTCAGACACCCCAAATAATAATATGCTGTTTAATCTGATTAAATCTCATTTTCAACTCAATGTGATGCTTTGGCTGCAGTTCTCATTTGTTTTTCTTTTTCATTTTAATTCTAATGTCATCTCCGTCTTTTGTTCAATTCTTATTCTCTTTTGGAACTATAAACTAAATTATACTTGGTGTTTGTCCATAAAGAACTGTTTGATTCACTTCCACTTATTAAAGAAAATGATATATTCGGGATTGGGGAAGTTAGAATGTTGCGAAAAAAAGGAAGAAGATATAAGAATATGCTTACCTTTTTGGAAGCAAATCCTTTGTGCAACTTAGTTGGTATAACTTGAGGTATAATACACTCCACATGCATATAGTTGTTTATGTTTTAATTTGCATAAACAATCTAGAATGATACTTGAGTGGATGATCCCCTTTTTTCATGGACTTGTAAACTTCAGGAGCTGTCATGTTCTTGTTTGAAGGCAACTATGGAAATATCCTTCACACAGGAGATTGCAGGCTCACCCTTGAGTGTCTTCAAAATCTACCAGAAAAATACATAGGAAAGAAAGGAAGAGAACCCAGGTGCCGGCTTGACTATGTTTTCCTTGATTGTACATTTGGGAAGTTCTCCTTACAGATTCCAAACAAGCATTCGGCAATTCAACAGGTACTCCAGTTTGGACAAACTTGAAACACCATATTGTTACATTTCTTTTCATGCTTTCAGCTATTATATGCTTTTTCTTAGAGTAGCTATTATATGCTATTACATGTATCTAGATGCTGTAAGAACCTAATTAGTAGAAGGAAAATGTGATTGATTTTAATTAGTTGTACAGTGTCAATTCTACCATGCAACTCTCCAAGTAGATAAAAACCTAATTGGTAGAAGGAAAATGTAATGGTTTTTAATTGGATGTACAGTGTCAATTCTACCATACAAGGTTCCAAGCAGATACTATGTTTATCCAGGAAACTGGACTACTTGAGAAGGATGTAGAATTTTAATGTCAATTAAATGCTCCTAGTCAGTTTTTATGCTTTTTAATCTTGAATTTTATATTATTTTAATTTTCGCTATTACTACTACTAGTATATTTTCAAAATGTCATTCTTTTAATTACTCTAGTTTATTTGCTTAGAGGTGTTAGTGTGGTTTACAAGTTGGTTTCACACGGTGTTAAACCAAGTCCATGTAACACTTGTATTGGTATGTATGAAGCAGGTGATCAATTGCATTTGGAAGCACCCAGATGCTCCTGTGGTGTACCTGGCATGCGATCTTCTTGGTCAGGAAGACATACTTGTGGAGGTATCCAGAACATTTGGGTCCAAGATATATGTCAACAAGGTTACAAGTGCAGAATATTTCCAAGCACTCATGCTCATAGCTCCTAATATTCTATGTGAAGATGAGTCTTCTCGCTTCCAGTTGTTCGAAGGATTTCCTAAATTATATGAAAGAGCAAAAGCAAAGCTCATAGAAGCCCAAACTAAATCCCAGCCTGAGCCTGTTATTATTCGACCATCTGCACAGTGGTATGCTTGTGAAGAAGAGACTTTAGAACCTAAAAAGCAAAGAAAGCAGAGATTCAAGGAGGCGGAGAGGGATTCATTTGGTGTTTGGCATGTATGTTACTCTATGCACTCATCTCGAGAAGAGTTGGAATGGGCTTTGCAACTAATGCATCCTAAGAGGGTTGTTTCAACAGCCCCAAGTTGTCGGGCTATGGAATTGCCTTATGTTAAGAACAACTGTTTTGGTGCTCCTGTAATGCCAAATGATCCTTTATGGAAGATTCTGGACATTAATACAGAAGAGGGATCCACTTCCCCAAAAGCTTCTACTTTTTCACAAGTCCCCGTTGAGGGTGACATCTCCTTTTCTGCAGTTAAAGGACAGTTACCAGATTTTGCAGAATCCAAGCAGTTAGGCTTAAAGAGTCTGCCTACCAAGCCTACCAAGCAGATAGATCTTTGCTTGAATTTGTCTCCCCCCAGCACAACATCATCCATCACATTGTTTGGAAGAGCAAGACTTGGCCTCAGAGAGTCTGATGTTCTGTTCCAAGAAGAGAAAACTGTCTCTACCAAAATTGATCCTTCTCCCATTGTAATCACTGAAAAAAAACAAGAATCATCCTTGCAAGAGGCTGGTGAATTTGATGTTCTGTTCCAAGAAAAGAAAACTGTCTCCACCGAAATTGATCCTTCTCCTATTGTAATCACTGAAAGAGAACAAGAATCATCCTTGCAAGAGTCTGGTGTTTTTGAATTACAATTAGAGAAACTAGAGGAAAGTGAAGTGAAGAAGGAAAAGAGGTTCCCTCACTCTCGCAGCGGACCATCAAATGACTTGAGTGAAAGTTTGAGGAAGCTTTACAGATCCATGAGAGTTCCAGTGCCTCAACCTCTTCCATCACTAGTGGAACTTATGGATGGCAAAAAACGAGCCAAGAGGAGGATCCATTTTTAGTCCTACTGGCTACAGCTTGAATAAAGATGAGCATGAGAATCTTTTACATTCTTGTGATTGTTATGGTGGAGACGTCTAACTGTATATAAAGGCTTACCTGAGGTGTTAAAGTTCAATTGCATGGCAAAATGGCATACACGAAGATTCAGAGAGAGAGATTGGGGGTTGGGATTTGGACCTAGCATTTGTCCACTTATGTGTAAAAACAAATTTGGTCAAAAAGAACGCGAACATGGTTCAGTTTTATATTTGAGTGCATTTAGAAACAAACTCGGCTCCTATTTTAAATACAATAATGTCAGAAAAAAAAAAAAACAAATTTATTTGGTGCAATAGTAGGCTTGCTTACTTTGTATTTCAAGTATACATTTCACTGAACCAAAATCAGTCACTCAAAATGAATAGTCCTTCAAATCCGCCTTCAGGTCAACCAGTTCCATGTCAGCAATGCATTCTTCTGCAGATAGGGGAGGAAGTTGTCTGGCCTTGCGCCTCATGTTATGCTTGTGCCAGTCACTTTTGAAGTGTTCCCTGTACTGCTTCGCATCCCCCACTAATGCATTGCATGTGTTACACTTGTTCTGCTTGACCTCCCCTTCGGCATTCCCATTTCCAGTGGAAATTTTTTGTTTCTCTAATTTCTCGCTCGGTTGTGCCACAGAATCAATTTGCTCCTTTGCATGGCTTGATGGAATGTCCTCATGATCATCATAGTTATCAACGTGGGTATCCCCTTCAACATGCACTGAAACAGCGAGTATGTCCAATCTTCCCTGCAGAGTCCGCACATAGCCATCACAGTCTCGGAATAAACTAGGTTCCAGTTCACAAACCTGCAACAAGAAATAAGAAGGTTGAACACTGCAAGTTGAGTAAGGAAATGTCTTGTGATTAAGGTTTAGTTGAGTTGAGTTGAATATCATCAACCAGAGCTTTGTCCCTTTTGGTTAGCGCCTTAGCGGTGTCAGGTACGTATTGTGAAATGAATTTTACTATTATAAGTTGATGCAGTTGCAAAAGCACTTCTTTTCAAAGCATACGGACCGGACCTCACTCCTCAGACTTACCACAGACAGCTGATTCCCAGACTCATCTTTTGAAACAATGCTGGCATTGCAGGCATTGAGCTTATCCATAATAGAAGAAAAGTTTTTCTCTAGTACCGTGAGCCGTATTCTCATTGGGGATCGTTTAATGGGGAAGTGTTTCTGAAGTTCATGAATAACTTCCAGGGCCTGTAGAAGATAGCCATAAAAATAGTAAAAAGATGATGAAAGGAGAAAAAGACAAGTAAATTGGAATAATGCAAACACCAATATACCATAGTACCATCCTCAACATGCAGCGTGTCCATGCAATAATGGATGACCCAAGTCCAAAAGGTGGACCAAGCCTCAAATGCCACAATAAAGCATAAAAAAGAGAAAGGAAAGCTGAAAACCAAATAAATAAGCCTTGAGAGCACAGACAATCCTACAAACATGAGAAATTGATAGAAATCATCGTCCACAGCCTCACCCTTACCAAGGCCATTGGTAGATTTTGGCTTTCACTAAAACAATGCATATTCTCTCTAATGTAATGTACCAGAACTCCAACTCCAAAAAGAATGTGCAATATCCTCGGGAAAAGAAAATAGTTTCATAAAAAAATGAAACAAATAAACATAACCATAAGACCAAATAAGCAATGCTTCTGCTCATTTAAAAAAAAAAGAAAAAAAAAAAAACTTTATGCTCATCATCCCCTAGTTAAAAATATAGTACTACTTTGTAAATGTTTGAACTTAACTGTAATCAGTTTTGGGTAGTGGTGGTGTGGTAATGAGAAGACAACAAACATGCTTTTTATAAATAAATATGTATAAAAATAAGATATCAGATTTACGATGACTATTTTGATAAGATAAAGGAACATATACAAAAACAAAGAGGTATCTACTATTAAAAGACTATACAAATTACACATATATTCTACAAACACAACAATTTTTGCCAGTACATTGGCAGAATCAATAGCCAATCCATAACCAAGGAATCAAAATCCATACATCATCAAGAAAAGAGCCATAAATTGGGAATGGATTATTTTCCGTTTACACATTCATTTTTCATCTGGGCAACCTTTATTTTTTCCATTTTAGATCAGCATCAAGCTAGGTAACCTGTTAAAGGCAAGAATGCAAGATACTGATAAATGAGGGTTCAGAATGCATTACTCGGTTATGTGAAAAAACTACAATAATTCAGAGTCATTATCAACATCATCATCCATGCCTTATCCCAATCCGTTCTATTTAAAGCCATATCCACAAAGTCCACAATTCAAAGTGTTTTTTTGGGGTGAGTGCAATGTTTGCAGTTTCTCTTCACTTACTTTAGGTGCACAGACCCAAGACTATACTTATACAGATTGGGGGTGGGGGGTAGAGAAGAAAATTAGAGTAGCATAGAGACAATCACCTGTTTCTTCGAGCTGCTATGAGGATCAACTGCAAAATGAATTTCATGCATAAGCCGTTCAATCATGCTAATGGTATAAGGGCGTTGAGTTTCGGGGTTTATGGTCTTCTGCATGACTATAGTTGCGATATCCCGGAATTGACTTGATAGCTGAGACTCCCTTTCCTTCCCTGCAACTTGAAGCTCTCCCTTTTTCAAAATCTGCCGCCCACAGAATTATTAGTTAAAACGCATGTTTTATGAAACAATTCACTCTTTACGAATTAAGCCTAAAGCTTTAGCAGAACTTGCAAAACATAAAATTTCCAAATGGAAATGGAATGAATGGCAAACGCTAAATAGAAAGACTATTTGGCCAACCTCTAAGCATATCTCCGTCTGATTGTCAGTCCCAAAGGCCGCGATCAAATCTTTCGACTTGGCAAGAACTCCTTTTGAGACATTCGAATAAACAGTCTGAGACTGCAAAACTTCATCCAAATCCTTCTCTCTGTACCAATAAATTAAAAGAAAAAAAAAACACATCTTTTTCAGTTCTTGTTTATCATTCCAAAAGCTCTAAGTGCTTTACCAAATTCTGTAATAACAATCAAAATGAACAGGGGCTAAACTACAAAACACACTGCACCGCAATAAACAAACAAGGGTTTCGGGAAGAGAGGAGGGCTTACACGCCAGAACGCCATGAGAGGACCTTGTTCTTGTAGCAGGCGATCTCGAATCGCATTCCATGCTTCTTCAGACGAACCACCGCCACGTTCGTCAATCTCTTCTGCCCTATCGGCTGAACCAATGACTTCGACATTCTCTCTCTCTCTCTCTCTCAATCCAAAACCATGAAACTTTTCACAGAGAGAAACTATATAGAAGACGTTTCGTTACTTGCCGTCGCGTCCCTTCGATTCGATTAAGAACTTCTGTCTGTGTTCTATCCCCTCTCTTAACCTTTCTCTTGTTCTTGTTGTTCTATTGTGTCGTTTCAATTTTTCCATGGGTAAATTACAAAGACCCCTGTACTTTTTTTCGCGACAAACCCTCCAAACTTTTACATTGGGACAAATATCCCTCAGTTGTTAAATTAGATGACGGAAAATTTAAATTACCAAAATATCCCATTAAATTTTCACTATTTTCTTTTTTTGCCATTTTCTCTTAAAAGTAGGGGTATCCATGAAAAAATCGAACCGAACGGAGAAAATTAAATCGCAAAATGTGGTTAATTGAATCGATCGGTTCAGTTTCAATTCAGACTTTTTGAAAAACAGAAGGACCAATTCAATTTTTGATTAACCTACAAAAAAATCGGCAGTTAATCGAACCGATTGGTATATATATTTAATATATGTCACATATTTTATATTTTCTATGTATTATATATAAATATATATTCATTATACATATAAATATATACTTATATTATATTTATAATGATCTATTTATAAATATATTATATATTTTTTAAATATTTATAATATATTATATATCATTTATTATTTATAATATAATATTATACATATATTTATATAATATATATTATAAATATAATAAACTGAAAAACCAAAGATCCGGACCGGTCAAAAACTAAAACCAGCAGACTGCTTAACCAGTAGTACCAGTTCAGTTTCGACTTAGCTAAATGAAAAAACCAGTACCACCGATTCAATTTACAAAAATGGGCCATGGTTCGATTAACCGAACTGTAAACACCCCTACTTAAAACTCTCCAACCTTGAATTCCACTTACAGTGCGTTGATCATGGCTATTTCTCCAAGAAGCTACCCATGTCTTTGTTCCTCTCCACCATTGCCAAGAACAGCTCCCTCCCAGCAAAATCCTTACCTCATCTTTCCTTACAGCTATTATTTTTCTAAGAACTACTCATTCTTGAACTCCTCAATCCATATCTGCAATACCCAGGTGAGAAAATCATCAGTTTTCGTTGCTAAAGCATTCGCTACTAAATCTGATCCATTGAAAGCAGATGGCGGAGGTGAAGGTGGATAAGCAGAAGAACAGTACAGGGAGTATGAGTTGAAGTTTGCAGCCATATGGGTTGAAGTTTGCAAAAGTTTGAGACGGTGGAACTGGGACGTTCCATTACTTTGGGGACAAAATACTCGCTACCAGGTTTTATTTGCTTGTGAATTGCATTTCCAACCAAAATCATCATGATTTTTCATTTCTCATTCTTTACAAAATTTGGTCCAAAGGAGTTTATTCAAATATATATTAATGGATTTGCTATCTGGTACTTGTTATGAGCTTTGTTATTTGTGCATTTGCAGTTTTTGTTTTGAAGTCATTCCCAATTCTTCAACTCAGAATTCATGGACATGGTCTTTATACACACTTTAGTACATCAGTTGTATGTCTTGATGGAAATTCACCTCCAAACACAGAAAGCCTTTGACATGTGGTAATATCCCACAAAACATGCGTTTGATCACCAGAATTGGTTATTAGGTAAGTATCTTCATATACGTAACCCTCATGCCCGGTTAACATCCGTACTGGTAAATTCCCATCCTTGTCAAATGGAGAGTTCAAATTGAAGATAAAGCAGGCACTATCAACACCACCACATGGAACAGACTCTGACCATTTGGGGAAAAAGCACATGCCATGACCCATGCACATGGTATCTTAATAGCATGAGTTTTCTGGCTTGTTAAAGCATTCTGATAGATAGAGAAATGACTTCTAAACATAAAAGAAGCATCATAGGAGCATTTAAGCTCTAAAAATGAATTAAAATAAGTAAAATAGACCTTGAGCTATTGAGGTAAAATTGGCATCCATGGTTCTATTTCAGCGTTAGAGGGCTTCAAAAACACCTCTTTGGCTTTGCCACTTTCTCTTTTACTCTTCTCTACAAGAAACCGAACCGAAAAACACTTTTCTACTTGTTGAACTGCAAAACTGAAAATAAAGCACAAGGGAGGCTCTTCTCTCTAGTCACAATTGTTCTCAACCGATGGATGATTTGTGTGTGTGCGTGTGTATGCATGTGTGTGTATGGGGTTCTATTTATAGAACCCAAATCGCCTAAAGAGGGCTATTCCTTCATGGTTAAGGAATTGCAAAAACCAGAGGCTCCATCAACCTCTGTTTTACAAACCATTAAATCTGAAACCATGTTGTCCCTCTCTCAATGGGAGCCTTAGGTGGGCTTCTAGAATAGCTTGCCATTTCAGCAGTTAGCTCCAGACACTATGGGTCCCGGTTTCTGATTCACCTCAAGCCACTATGAACTTGTTGAATGAGTTCTAACAATCTCCCACTTGGTTGAGATGAATCTTTCTATTTAACTTTATATGGCCATCAATGACCCAGTATGGTAAACCTAAGGATATCCGTTCCATTCAATTGAAACCACTATCCCCACATCATCAAAGTCACTTGAGTTCTCTCAATTTGACTCAGGACTATCAATGGTTATAGAGGTTAGCAACTTCAACCAACATGAACAAACTGCATACAATGGTTAGAAAACCTAAGCACAACGCACATATCTTTGTCTTATGTTATGTGTACACTTAAATTGAGAGAAAAATAGAGATATGTTTATCAGAATCAATAACTTTATTGTGATCACATACTGTAGTTGTTCAAGATTGCTATCAGTTTTGAGCACTAATAAATTTCAGGTTCAAAAAAGGAGAAAGAATAGGGGAAGGAGGAGAAAGAGGAGAGAGAGAGAGTAGAGAGAGAGCAGTAGAAGACGAGATTTGAAATGAATGATAGAATCTCAATATTCTGCCGCCGCCACTTTATTTAATATTTATAGGTTATGCTCATTACATGGAAAGGACAGATCTTCCCTTAGYCTTTACATAACAAATAGAGCAAAATAAGACTGAAACAACTAAAATGACCAACAGCTAACCCTAGGAAGACTAGAACACCTTCTACCCTACGAACACAGTGGGACCGTAGCTATGGGGCCCACATCAGTGTTCTCTACACTCCCCCTCAAGTTGGGAATAAAT